AATAAATCTGTGTCCAATAATTTTGTGTCCAATAATTTGGTGTCGAATCGATCGGTGTCGAATCGTACTGTGGTCAAACGGAACACGCCCTTGCTCCTCTTGTCCATCACTGAAGTGATAATATACAATCGGAGCTCAATATTTGTTTTGTTCATACATACTAGCTCATTTGTTTATGAGTAGTACCGTTACGGTATTACTGCAATACCTCTTCTCCTAGAAGCAATCTGCCCCTGACGTTCTCTCTCTGTTTGTTCTTTTTGCAATAAAACTTTTCTTGCATAAAGTGATACTGCGTCCCACTCTTCTTGTCCAATTATCATCGCCTCCACTGCAGCTTTCATCGTGACTCTAATCCAATTTTAATCTGTAGTTATTCACGTTCTTCCATCCAGTTTTTGCATTTCTCCCATGTATGAATCAACGTATTAACTGCCAGTCTACAGTGGGAACATCTGTCTGTTGCCGACAGACAATCGAACACGATTGACACAGGTTAACGCCTTGTGTCNCGTTTCGCCACATTTGTAGCACAAGCTGCTCCTGTCCACTGTGCTAGGACACGTGGTCCTCACATGTCCAAACTCCAAGCATCGAAAACATTGGAGCTTCCTCGAGNGAAGCAACACGACTCGGGCTGATGTCCACCTCAGCCTGATGCGGCCCGCCTTAACCATGGCCTGTGCCGAATCAGCCGGGCACTGGATCCAAATGGCACATAATTCACTTGCCAGATGCCTTATAACACCCGTCTTCACGTCGCTCACATTACATCCACCGACAGGTGTAACTTGGCTGATGATTTCTGTCTCCGTTACTGAATCATCAATTTCAATAATCTGCATCTCAGCTCGTTTCGACGGGATTGTTATACGTGCTTCTTAGCCCAGCACCTCCTGAAGCTTGTCCTGCAATTGACGCGCCTTTTCTTTTCCTTCTTTACTCGGGATTTGGATAAGCAGACACCTGCGATGTCCCTCCGAATTCTGGTGTCACCAAGTCCCAGCTGCTCCAAGTTTATCTCGCCCCGCGCTTTCTTTATGATTTCCGCGTACGATGTTTTTCCTTTTGGAATCCTGATTGCCACCGCCGCCGATCGCGGAGGACGAATGCGGGGGAGACGCTTTACCCGGTTTATAAGGGGTGGCCTCTTCTGCAGCAGAGGATTTTCCCTTACTTGTTTACCGCTGCGCAGACGTCGCCTGCCTCTTGTCGGGCCCACCACCGACCATTCAGTGTCGCTTTGAGTGGCCACTGTCACTACATCCGATCCTCTCTCCGAAGCTATACGTCGTCTTCGCCGTTTTCGCCGAGACTGGGGTGTCCGCGTTTTAACTCTCTCTCGGGTACTCTTGTCTTCTTCCGAAATGAGGCCTCTGGATCTTCTCCTGGGATATTCTAAAGGCTGGGACTTATCCACTAATATCAGCCTGTTTTCCTCCCTACAAGTGAAAACTCTCTGACCAAGAGGAGCCGTCATACCATCAAATTGTACAGCTGTGCTAGTGTTCTTAGAGCAAACTGTGTCCACCTTTGCTCTGCTCCCAGCCGGTACTGAGATGGGGTATGGCGCCAAATCAGGAGAGGATGTCGCCACATCCCTTGTCTGTTTGTTCATCAATTTCGGCGATCTCAAGCCTACGCCAATCTTTCCATCATGAACGTCTTGTTTAAACTAGCGTAACTCCTGCTTCAAGGCCTCCAGTCGTTCGCGCAGCAGTTTGTTCTCTTCCTTGAGCTCCTTCGTTTTCTTGAGCAACTCGGCTTTTCTCAGGTGTAAATATGAAGTATCACCCGTAAGGTCGCATCGAGTTGCTAAGTCCGACGCCGCCAGTTTGATCTTCTGCACGCTTAATTTGATTGTGTGCGACAGTGCACCGTTGAGATTTTTACTCCTGGCTCTGACCCCTTTAATAATGTCGGCATTCTCTTCGATGGTCGCCGCGACAATTCCTGCCGATTGGTATCAACCACTATCATACAGTGCTGTTCTTGGCGATATGTTATCGTTCGCTTTTCGTTTGTTGCGCGCGCTGGAGGTCCGTGCAGAAACTCGCCTAGCTTTTGTTTTAATTATTTCCCGTTGTACCTTATTTAGTGGAGTCTCGCTTCATTCCTTCTCTCTCTTTCTCTTTCGGACAGATCCAAATCATCCTCGAACGATATTCGCCGCACCGTATTTTATAACGCACTCCTCGTGTTTTTCCCAGCAGCGGGGTCCTGTTCCATAGCACTGGCACTGCTAGTGCTGGCAAAATGGCGTTCAGCGATAGCTATGTCATCTGCAGCGCTCGCCGTCAACGCCGCAGATGGCCCGTTGCAAGATGTCGACAAGGGAGCAGCCGGGACATTACCGCTCTCCCAACGTTCTCTGAGGTTCCGAGGCCCCTAAGATGATCTTACCATACACGCCATTTTACGTCCATGTTTCTTGTTGGGTTTCTTCTCTGAGTCTCCTTCCCATAGGCCAACTGCTTCCACCACAACTAACGAGCCCGACCTGCCCGAGTTTGAAATCAGGGTTTTCCTTTCCCTAGTCCAGTGGCCGTCCCGGAAGCGCCTCTCGGAGCTGGACACTCCGGATTTGAAGTCAGAGTTTACTCTCCTAGTCTGATTGCACCGTGGCTGACGGGGTCGGATACCCCGGATTTGAAGTCAGGGTTTACTTCTCTATCTCAATTGCACCGGCATGAAGTGCTAAGCAAGGCCGGGAGCCCCCGGTTTTTGTTTGAGGTTTTCTTTCTTCTATTCTCTCTCTTAGTACAGGATCTCACTGAAGGTCTTACTGAGCATGGGTGACCCTGCGACCGACGGTTTCGGAGGTTGCATCCGCCCGTCGTGAGGAAACTCCAGGGGTCAGTGAGAATGTGTAGCGTAGGAATACCGTCTGAAGCGGCGATGTAAAGCGTTAAAAATAACGTCAAATACTTTTGTAATGGTAAATCAGTAAATGGTTTTGTTTTTTGTTTTGTTTTTTTTTTTGAGCGGACTGTATTTTGTGTGTTTAGTTTTAGTTAGAGATACAGATCCGAGGTGCATAATGCCCAAAGTTTAATCAAAACATTTTTTAGTTTATTTTATTTTCTTTTCTCTTAGAGGGACCCAAGTGTGTAGAGGGGCTCGACTCGCCAAACTGACATTTGTTAAAAACACTTGTTTGCGAAGCAGTGTGTAATTATCGCTATAACTTTGTGAGTAAGCTTGGTTTGGGTTAATCATCAATCTGGCTGAGTATGAGCAATAATTGAGAAGTTAGGTACTAATTCGTAAAACTTAACTTGGTAATTATTGGTGTAACTGCAGTAACCAACTATTTGTCCAGTGGAAAGCTCACCTGAAAAAGAAGAACAATAATTAAGGTTAATAAAGTTTTGCATACTTACCAGTAGTCGTTGAAACTAACTCCGTTCATCCGAGTTAGTCATCTTCTTCTCCTGGATAGTTGGGCAGTTACCTGAAACAGAAAAAAGAATTAGCAAAACACCTTGTTAAGAATTATTGCTCATGCTTTGTTAAATTGTTGATGTTTGTTTGTAAGAAAAGGAATTGAACGAAGTATTTTACATATTCCAGCAAGTTTTTTTTACTTATCTCAGTGTACTGTATCTTTTTGCGATGCGTTTATATGTAACACCTAAGTTTGAGTTGCTACTTATTGCGGAAACTTTGCGTGCGTATTGTTTTTCTTTACATTAAACGTTTAAATAATTTTCAACAATAATTAGGTTTTAAGGGCTAACATCACGTTGCGTTGACAATTATTGACGAAGCTTGGTATACGCGTTACTCTTCTTTAGACTAGGCGTATGAATAAATTTCGTCAATATTTGTGTGGTGGGACTAACTTTGTTGTTTGTTGCTAATTATTGACGAAAATGTGTGTGCGTGCTACTCTTTTTCAGATTAGGCGCTGGAGCAAGTTTCAATAATTGAACGTTAGTGTTAGTTTCGGTTTGCGTTGGTAATTATTGTTGAGACTGCGCGTACGTACTGTTCTTCTTTAGATTAGGCGTTCAGGCAAGTTTCATCAATAATTGAAAGTTAGGGTCCTAACCCTGACAGACGTCGTTGAGCCTAACCCTCACAAAAAATAGAGTTATTGTTAATACTTGGCGTGCGTAAAGAGCATCTTTTGTAGAGACGATACTGCAAGTTTAACAATTGACGCTTCGTACTTACTTTAGGTCTGGTAGGCTCTCAGGGATTGACAACACCTGTAAAACAAAAACGAGATGCGAATTATGAGAAATATTTTGCGGCGTGAAAGAGCTTCGGTGGGAAAGGCTCCACACTAAATATTTTCAATAATTGGTGTGTTAATAAGTTTTAGTACTTACTTACTTGGGATCCTTATTCATCGATGACTCGGTCTGAGACAAAGAAAGGAGTTGTGAATTATTGGTGAAACTTCGGGAATGAACTTCTCGAGTGTTGATGAGACTTTGCTGATGGGAAATTTCAACAATTGAAATTTTCAAAATTGTGTTAACTTTGTGTAAAAATGTCAATTATGGGTAAAACTTTGTCAGTAGACATGGTTTAGATCAAAGAACAGTTCAGTAAGGTTTCATCAATAATTCGGTAGGTTTATTCTTAGAGCGGGTTGCGCATGCGCGATTCTCGGGAAGGGAAAGCAAGCGTTCTTGGCCGAGACTGTCGCGCCGCGCAGCAGTTGGAATCGAGCGCTCAAGGAAGCATAGCGTTGTAACCACGAGTCCTGCTCAACGTAGTAGATAGTGTTGTACGATCGTTCCGAAGAAATCGGACGTAGAATCATCGTCTCGCTAAAAAGCAACGTAGATCGCGACACCGGAAAAACCGGTTGTTAGTAACGCGTTTTATGTACAATCCTGTAACACAAGAAAATTGTTATTTTTAACAAGTGTTAATAAACAGTTTATAAACAGTTCAACCATAAACTCAGTGTGTGAGTATTTCTCACGACTTGAACTTTGGTAAAACCTGGGCCTTACCAGAAACCCGTTGTCCGCGTCCATCATCCAGGGTCCATAGTCAAAGGAGATCCAAGGGCAAATGCGGCAATTTCGGATGTTCATCTGTTTAGTGAGTCCGTCCCTAAAACATACCGAAAGGATCAGTTCCTTCCTGCTTGGCAGTGAAAGCAGGTGGCGACCGTCAAAGCTAGAAAAAACGGCTTAACCATCCGGTCACAACCCTACCAGGAAATCAAAGGATTCCCCGCCAGCATAGCCCCTCAGATCATAGATCCTACGCCTGGACACCACGACAAAGTAGGGAGAAGTCGCCCAGGAACCTATAAAGAAATTGGGCGGCAATAATAAGAGATACGGTGTGTAAGCCCTGGAGAATCCTGGCGCTTAAGACCGGCACATACTTTGGGACTCCCTCAAAAGATAATTTTTGTGGCAAAGGGGGATAGCGGCGCAAACACCAAGTCACAATATATATATATATATATATATATATATATATATATACTCTTGTTTCCAAGAGAATAATTTTAAATTCATGATTGAGGTGTTACTTAACAATGATTATCCTTTACAGTTTATTTTTAAGATTATAAGAAACAGGATCAAGTTTGTACTTACTGGTAAATTAAATTTAAATTCTGTCAATAATTCCACTTTATTATCAGGTGAGAATGTGAAAAATGTCAATTATTTTGTTGTTTTTTATTTGACTGGTTTATCGGATTTTTTCAGTAAGTTTTTTAAAAAATCTAATGAAACATTCTTGGCATTTCAAAGTTTGAATAAATTGAACAAGTTTATAAAAGTTTCAAAAGACATTACAGCGCATGATCAAAATAAAAATGTAGTGTATCAAATCAATTGTAACAACTGCAATGTGTCCTATGTTG